TGTTGATTGATGGTACATAGAAGGGATTATAATCAATGTAATGAAACAAGGTATATGATTTATTGAATGTAAAACTGATGATATGCCCTGTAAACTTTCACTCAATCCACAATAAAAACCTTAAATATTTAGAAAAAAAAAAAGTGATATAAAAATTTGGAAATGGGTAATGGTAATAGTTGAACAACACGATAGACATAACTAATGTCACTGAATGATACATATGATGAATGTTGGAAAAGTAAATAATTTTGTTGTATATATATTTATGACAATAAAAAAAAAAATCCCAAAAGAAAGAAGTTAAAAAGTAGCAATCTGCTGGTCTCTAAAACTGCTTCTGTTAAGAACAACAGCAACAAATAAATAAAAATATGGTTGGCACTGAGATTATAATCAAGAAAGAATCTTAGGGATGTGAGAAGTTAGAATAATTGAGTAAGAGGAAAGTCTTCTACCCCAGAGACTGGCAAGAAAGAAAACAGTCAATCTTGGCTATCTTGAGGCAGGGACATGATGCTTCCTTGTAAAATGTGAATCTGTATCACCAGAATCTCCTAAAGAAAACCCCCCAAATCCCCACTTAAATCAGCACTAAGACACATCTTACTTGTTTTCCTTTCTCCTCCTCTAGCTCGGAATCCACTTCTTCTTTTTCCAAACAGGAATCTGGGCTGTTAGGCTCAGAGAGCATTAGGTCTAGAGCAGAACAAAGGGAAGGCTAAATAATTTATTTAAGAATAAATAGTTGATGAATGAATGAAAGCTGATCCCAAGAATCAGTATTTTCACTCGACCCTCATGTCAGTGATATTTTCTCCATAAAACATGATCCTAGATGATTATATTCCACCCAAAGTCCACCACTATTCAGCCTGCAGCCATCCACCAATCTCATGTATTTAGTCCATGACATTCATGGAGGGCCTCCAACAGAATCCAGAACGAAGCTATGATGTTGGACATAGAGAAAATCTTCTGTTGCTGTCTCATTAAGGAATTCCTCTCTCCCTCTCCACCCCAACCCTGGTCATCCACTTATCCTACCTACCTTTTCCTTCCCCTGTACTGTCAAATCCATTGTATCGGCTGGAGAAACCAAACAAGTTAACCCGCTCCTGAGGAAACCAAGAAACAAAAGCATCACCCACCTTGGCAAACATACTCCACTGCCCTCCCAAGAGCCCTGGTGGTACTGTAGGATAAGAACTGGGCTACTAACTGCAAGGTCAGTAGTTCAAATCCACCAGTTGAGGATTTCTGTTCCTGTAAAGATTTCTAGGCTCAGAAGCACCAGGGTCACTGTGAATCAGAATCAGCTCAATGACACTGGGTGTTGGGCCTCCCAAGAGTTATTTGTGTTCTCTGTCTTCTAGATTTCAATCATGAAGAATTGTGTTTTCATTTTCTATACCATTTTCACTTGGAATTTCATATTAGGTAGGCTTCTCTGAATTTTTATGGAGATTAGTTAATTTTAACATTTTTTTTCTAATTTACTTGATTCACAATTCAATATGGAGTCCTGGTTTGGCACTATAGGATAAGCACTGGACCACATGATCGGTTTGAACTGCAGTGTTAGCAGTTCAAACTCACCAGCCACTCCTTGGAAACTTTACACAGGGTCTCTATGAGTAGGAAGCATCTCGATGACACTTAACAACAACATAATTCAGTAAACAAGTGGGAAGGAAACATTCCGTTTGTCATTCTACACCCAAAGACAGAGCTTGACTCTGCATGTTAAGTATTTGAGACTCAGAGCTAAACAGGGAGGTGGGATGTTCCCAACCACAAATTGTCTCTCTGGGGCTGACAGAGGATCCCGCTGTCCAAGGGCAGGGAAAGGAACAGAAGATTTAAGGAGTCAAGGGAATCTGGCCTGGGAAAAAAAAAGTAGTTTTAAGACGAAGGCTGTGAGATGGGGAAGGACAACTTGGTTTTCTGCAGTGTGACGTGTGGTTTGTGTCCTAAGTCCCAAAGGTTTGTGTCTCAAGTCTGTGGGCATGAACAACCTGAATGCTGATCTGTTCTGCTTCTTGAGCCATTGTGAGGGCTACGCCCAGTTTCTGGATGCAATCCTTGTTCTTGCACTTTTTCTGAAAAGGAAGAAGACTAGAGTCAATGGTAAGTAATGACCTGGAGATTACAGTCAATAATAAATTGACTCCAATACATTGCTACCCAGCAAACACTATCTTTAAGTATACTTACCCCAGTCCTGGTCATAATATGACTCTTCTAGTCACTGTCTTTTGGGGTCAGAGACAGCCTCACTTTCCTGCAACAAAACTCTACCAATTCCTAGCAATATTCTCAACCACCATTTTGCTGTCCTCTCTAAAAGGATCCCATGGAAATTTGAGAAAACAAGATTAAAGAAGATGAAGTGATTTCACTTTTAAGATTCTGACACATTTCTTTCGATCCACTGCTTGATATAATGCCTCCTTCCTGATCTGTTAAGTCTCTCTGCTCATTTCTAATCCAAACAACTACTGGGGAGATATGTGATGTAGCTAATCCAGTGGTTCTCACCAAGGGCAGTTTTGTCCCCTAGGAGATGTCTGGCAATGTTTTAAGACAGTTTTGCTGGTTGTCAAAACTGGCTTCTAGTTGGTAGAGTCCAGGAATGTTACTAAACATCCTATAATGCACAAGACAGCCTCCCACAACAAAGAGTGATCTGGTCCAAAATGTCAGTAGTACTGTGATTGAGAAACTGACTTAACCTGTGCTCTCATTTCTGCCACACCTGCTTGGGCTAAGCTGCAGAAAATCTGGGTCTTCAAGAAGGCTCCCTAGCGATAGTCGCTAGGGAAGGAGACAGAAAAATCATTACCCAGCTACCAACAGGAATAACCTCACCCTGGCACACCTGGTCACACATGGGGCTTTCTCCCAACACAGCTTACCCTGGGAGAAAATTAGTTTTAAAAACTGGAAGGGTCCATTTTCAAGTTCCCTGTATGACACCAGAGGATGCTCACCACTCCAGCTAGCTCCAGGGACAGCTCCTGGAAGTTCTTTAGCATGTTGACTGGGATCCAAGCACGAGAAACTGTTTCTCCAAAGAATGTCACATGGTACTTAGACTGAAATAAAAGACGGTTCTGTAACGACTTCCTGTCCTGCCCCCCCACACACACACACACACTTTGGCCCTCTAGGCAGAAAAGGGAAGGGAAGAACTAAGAAGTCACAGTAAGGAGACACCTGGCCCATCTGCTTTCCGACCTCATTCCACTGTTCTTCCACTCTGACCTCAGGAATCCCAGTCAAACTATGTTTTGCAAAATCATAAATGCTCTGTTGGTGTATGGGATAAGCATTGGGCTGCTAAAGACAGGGTAAGAAGTTCCAACCCACCAGTAAGATGAGGGTATCTGCTCCTATAAAGATTTACAGTCTCAGAAACCCAAAGGAGCAGTTCAACTGAGTCTTCAGGGTTGCTCTGGATGGAATGGACTTATCGGTAGTGGGTTTAATTCAACACAAGTTAATTCTACATGTGAGTACTGTGTCTGTGTCTGCCACTCTAATTAAGTGTCTGCTGGGCAGGCCTATGACATGAACAGTAACATTCGTGAGGGACACAGTCCTCAGAAAAATCAACCATTTAAGACAAACAGAGCAGCATATGCCCGAGCACAGATCAGAAGGTGGCAGCGGCAGCAGGAAGCCCACTGAGGAAGCTGTTAGCAGGAAGCCCACTGCAGCTGATGTTACGGAACAAAAACGTGCACAGCAATATTGAATGGCAAACTAATGTGCCCTATAAGCTTTTGCCCAAATTATAATAAATAAATAAAATTCAACACGGATTCTAAACAAAAAAAAGTATCTGTTTCTGTCTGCTGGTATGTCTGTGTCTGTACCTCTGTGCATCTGTTAAGAGTGGATGTGTATGTGACTTGGGCCTGAGCATCCCCGAGCCTCTTCCTCCATCAGGGAGATGAACTATTAATAGAGGGGAAACTCACCGGCAGGCTATCAAGGTGAGACGCAAACAGAAAATACTCCCCCAGGTCAGGATCAGATTCTACCATGCCTGGCCACCTGGAGAAGACAGATGAGGAACAAAACAAAAATCCATCAGTACACATGGACAGAAAAGGGTGATATGGTTTTAAAACAAAAAAGTTCAAAGACAGACCCCCCGCCAAACTCCTCCAGTAGTTGTTGCTGTTGTCATTAAGTGCCGTCAAGTCAGTTCTGACCCATAACGACCCTGTATAGGGTTCCCAAAGAGCAGCTGGTAAGCTTGAACTGCCAACCTTGCAGTTCAAACCGACTTTGCAGTCCAGCGCATTAACATGCAGTGCCATACCAGGACTCCCCTGCAGTAGTAGATGCCAAAAAATAACTGTAGTGACTTCCAACAAAGAAACTCAGATTCTTCCTAGTGAAGGTCTCCCATATACCTTCCATCAACTCCGAGAATTAAATCTTCTGGCTAGGGGCAGTCCCAAGGACAAGCGATCCTACTTTCCTTGTTGTCTTTACTTTGGATGGTTACTCTATCACAATGTTAAAAAATGTCCCAGATCCACCCTCCCATCCTAGCCCTGAAGGTACATGCAGCCTCTACAAGATAAGCTCTTTCAAAGTCTCCAAGCTTGGCACTTGACCCTCATCCATGCTCTTTCTAAGGCCAATGCCATTTCAGTGAGAACTACTTTCCATTTTCTCCCTTTTCTCCTTGAACCCACCACCCCCAAGTTCATGAAAGGTGACACTCTCATTAATGCATGGTGTCCTACCAGGGGTAGCCATATTGCTTGGCCCAGATGATAGATCCTGGAATGTAGGAAGCATAAGCCACATCATTCTCATGCCCTGTCCAGATCTCCTCAGGAATATCACAGCGATTATGCTCCAAGTCTGCCCAAAAAGAGAAGGATCAAAGGAAAGAGGAAATTCATGAGGTAGAACTCTGGATGAAGACTGAGGAGAGGCCAGAAGGTGGGACCAACAGGGAACCTGGCAGGAAGAATGGAGATCCAGGAAGAAAGAAGGCGAAAGGCCTTCTCCTCCTCCACACCAGGACGTATGCAGAAGAAGGAAGGGGAATAATAAAAACGGGATGGAAAGAGAATATTTCCACTCCCTTCTACCTGTATTTTGGTCACAGGACCAATTATCTGGGAGAACAGAAGGGTCAATGTTCCCACGCAGCCGCCTCCATTTCTCACAGTTAGGGAAAGAACATTGGACCCAGACTAGACACTGACCTGTGACAGAGAAAATGGAAATAAAAGACTCAAAAATATGTTCTTCTTTCTGCAATCCAATTAAAATTAATATAAAACTCTCCCTGCCACCAAATAACATTGGCACAGAGACCCTGAAGATCAACTAGTCCAACCCCTGACGTAAAAATGAGAAACTAAGGCTCAGAGATGTTACAGACTTAATGAAAATCCATCCACTAGTGGCAGAGCTGGACTTAGAAGTCATGTCGCACATCCCAGTGTTTCTGCTGAGCTTTCAACCTCCACTCAGACCAAGGCAGAGAAGAATCTCTCCAGTACTGGTGGCCCTTAAAAAGCTGTCTGGTTCTCCATCACTACTGAAAAGTTCTTCTCAAGGGCTAACCAGCATCTCTTTACAATGTCTTACAAGAATAACAACTGATTTAGTTGTCAACAAATCACCAATATGTTGGGGATCAATAGGCTCACCCTTCTCCAAAAGGTCAAGCTCTATCATTTCTAATCAACTAGTCACTGCTCACAGGTAAGCATTCCTTTTATCCATCACCTTCCAAATCCCACCTCTCTCTGTCCTCACCCCTCTCTGTCTCCCCACCCCTCTTTCTCTCCCCACATCCTCTAAGCATATCCAAAGTCCCACACAGCCTCCCCTCTCCTCCATCTCCAATGTTCAAGCCCAAGAGGATTTTTTTAAACCACAGCCAAACTCACCAAAACCACCTTTCTCTTTTTGCTGGTCCTTGATCTGAGAATGATCCTGACCTGTTTTCTTTGATTGGTCTTTCTGTTTGTTCTCATGCCCAACTTGGAATTTCTCCGGTTTTTCATTTTCTATAAACATAAGACAAAAATGAGAAGGAGGCTGAAAATGAGAATTTTTAGAGATAGCATAGCCCAGTGAAAGACGGAAGAAAAATCATAGCCTTATAGCTAGTTTCAAGCCTTCAGTTGTTAATTCTCAGCCTTCCCACTGTCCCTCTCCTCAACTTCCCAGAGCAAGTATTTCCAAATGGCAAAGTATATCTGAGCATACTTACGACCTCCCTTCTTTCTTTTGTTCAAGGAGAGTCTGCTTAATTTCTTCTCAGGGGGTGCAGGATCTGGTTGGACTAGCTGGGCTGCATTTATCTCAAGGACAACTCCATTTTGCTGAGATGCTGAACTCTCTGGAGTATGATGTACAATTAGCCTCTCTCTGAAAATGAGATTTTTGAGATGTTGTGGGGTTTTTTAAATTTAAAATTTTAAAAATTTAGAAGTTAAAAAGAAAAACTTTGCAATATCCCTTTTTTTTAGAAGGATCCAAGAGTAAAAGTTAGGAAGACAAAAGAATCCTTGGCCCCCTAAAGCCTCCTGAGGTGATTTTATCTACTTTTGCCTATTTGTCCCAACTTGAAGAAGTTATCTTTTCAGAGATAAGAGAGAGAGATCGATCGATAGACAGATCACACTTACTAGTGTTAAATCCACCGTGGAATCAGTTCCCCTCATTGGCATACACTTACCCATCAGCATTACCATTATCAGTAGTAACAGAAGAAGTTCCTGGTTCCTTGTCTGATTGGGAACACGCTATGGGCTGGGCACATGATATCTCTGCAAAACCAAGGCCAGATCCTACCCTTCCCCAAACAAAATTCTGTAAGTAGAGAAGCAGTAAAAGAAAACCAACACTCCACTGTTTCCTAACTATCTCTTTCATTAAAATGTCTCCCACCCTTTTCTGGAGAAATCTTCTTGTCATAGGATTTTAAGCATGTATTTTCAGAAAAAATTGCACATCTGTTTCTTTTTGCAAGCCTTTCCAAATGATCTGCCTCATTCCAAAATAGGTAATGCTAATTTATTTTATGTACACAATGAAAATGATATGTGCTGTATTTTATATTATTTGGTCCTCAAACCCCCTATAGGAGTACAAGTGTACTTGAGAATGGCCCAAAATGCTAGGCCATTCTCCTTAGGCTGAATGCCTTATGGAGGAAGCCTCAGGGTCTACACTACAGAGTTCTTTACGCTAAAAATCAAATCTATGAGGATATGCTAAAATGGTATTGGAGACAGAAATACACAAAGGTTAATGGAGACTGAGTTCTTCAAATGTGGGGGAATTGATTTATCTTTTCTAATTAGTTTATAAATATATAGAAATGAATTTAAATTGTATTTTAAAAACTGTGAGACTAAATTCTAAAGTCAATGTAAAACTTTTCTAAAAGTGTGTATCTTTTAGCTAAGATGGTTTACATAGCATCTCACTGATAACAGATGAAATGTTTTAAAGTTTTTCAAAGTTCCATGGACTATTTCCTTGCTCAGGAAGATGGGGGAGGGCAGGAAGCTTTCAAACTTCTCTGTGCCTAAGCTCGCAGTCACTTTATCTAACAGAAACCCCTTTTCTCTCACTACAAGCCATACCCAGACACTCCTGTAGGGACTTCTGTAGCACAATCTGAACAATCTCTTCAAATTCTGCATTGGTAAGACTTGCTCCTTCCTGCAGAGACAAGGGTTGCTGTCATTAAGTGCCATCAAGTCGGTTCCAACTCATGGCGACCCTGTATAGGGGAGTAACACTGCTTATCTCTCTGTACTTATCCCCTATGACCAGGGAATCCTCTGAGACTACGAAATCAACATACATAAAAATTCCATAAATTTGATCCCAGATCTCTTGGGAATAAGGGAGTCAAAGAAAAGGAAATCATTTTTAAAGTTTGTGTACACTTCTACCTGCACCTTGAACCCTACCCCTACCTAGTCATTTTTCCCTGCAACATGTTCTCAAACACTTCATATCTCTTTGAAAAAAAAAAAAAAAATAGAAACCCCCAAAAGAAATAAAAACAACTGAAATTACAGGATGGATTTCCCCAAAGTGTCTATTTGGGTCTCCAGAGAGTGGGGAAAGAGGGTCTGTCTTATAGGAGCCCATGAATATGACTGGTACCTTTTCTGCTTTCTTCTCTGCTTTCTTGTATTGATTCTTTCTTTTCTTCTCTTGGCCACGGCCTTGAACATTCTCTGTGGGTGCTTTCTCATTCTTCTTCACTAATTTGGACTTTGGCAAGCTTGATTTGGTCTCTACTTCGGGGAAACTGATCCCCAGAATATTCTCTTTGAGTGAGTTAGGGCTAGAGGGCATCAGTCTTTGCAGTTTTTGTGCAGGCGGGGCAAAGGTTTTCTTTGGTCCCTTTCCACATTCTGAAACAAATTTGACTGTCAAATGGAATTTATGAAACATATAATCTAGCACATATACTGCCAAACATTGCAAACTGGACATACCAGAATTATCTGGACAGAATTTTTAATGAATTCAGATTCATGGGCCTCTTGTCCTTCACCACCACCCCCCTGCCTGGAATCCTGAGAATCTGATACATAATCTGTAATTTTATTAGGTTATCTAGATATTTCTGGTGCCCTTACAGGTTTGAAACTACTAAGTAATTCAAAGTTATAAAAAAAAAGTATGGAGCCCTGGTATGGTGCCATAGGATAAAGACCGGGCTGGTAACTACAAGGTTGGCAGTTCAAACCTCCCAGCCACTCTCGGAACCCTATACAGTGTTGCTATGAGTTGGAACCAACTCAACAACACTTAATAACAATAAACATAAGTATGTAGGAAGCTGAATTATTCAATTGCAAATTATTTTAGTTACTGATTTTAACTTTGAATTAAGTTTTATTGGATTAATAAAAAATTAATAAGTAATACTTAAACCCTACGCGCACTATAAGTTGGAACCGACTCCACAGCACACAACCACTACTGCTACTAAATAAAATTAGAGATGGAAGAAAAACTTTCCTTACAACATTCCTTCTGTTTTACCCTCTAGTCAAAAAGTACAAATTATTCAAGGCCCAGCTCTTAGGCCACCTCCCCAATGAAAACCATACTGATTGTCCAGGTATAAGCAGTACTCTTTCTTCTGAGCTTCCCTAGTACTTTGTTCCTCCCTTCGTTGCACTTAACCACATTCAACTTTGTGCTACATCCACTGAAATGCCTTCTCTCTCCCTACTAAATCGTATGTTCCTTGAGCGGGACTGTTTATAAGTTATATTTGTTGTTGTTGTTAAGTGCCGTCAAGTCGGTTCCGACCCATAGCGACCCTGTACAGGGTTTCCGAGGGTGTAAATCCTTACGGAAGTAGAAAGCCTCATCTTTCTCCCACGGAGCGGCTGGTAGTTTCGAACCGCTGACCTTAAGGTTCGCAGCCCGGTTCGTATCCACTACGCTACCAGAGCTCCTTATATTTACGAGTATATTATTCAAAGTATCTAGAAGAACAGTACTTTGAACAGAGTAGACACAAAATATATGTGAATTGAGCTGCCCGTTTGTAGCAGTCCTGATAATCAAGGACTGAGAAAGAGGATAAAAATGAGAAAAATAAAATAAACCTCCCTCCCTCTTGACTTACCTCCTTTCTTCTGCAATGTTGTCATCATTCAACTCTGAGGCCACTTTCTTTTGCCTCTGTTAGGAGAAAGAAATTAACTGCTATACCCGAGAAAACATCATTTTAAATGTTCCTCTCCCCTTGTGTTCTTGGGCTCAGGATATACTTGTCTAGGATCCCTGAGCTACATTTGCTGCTTTCTAGACTTCTACTACTTGCCAGGAAGCAGAGTTACTGTCTTTAGAATGTAGACTAGCAATCAGTGTTTTAAGTGCCTAGAACCTTGTCCACCATAAGACATGCACTTATGTACTGGTCACAGTGACAGGTGTACAGGTAGCAGTAGAGCAATGATAGTAGAGTTTAGATGAGGTGGCGCTATAAGACAGGGATTGGACTGCTAACTGAAGGTTGGAGGTTCAAACCCACCAGCCACTCCTCAGAAACCCTATACAGGGTCACTAAAAGTTGGAACCAACTTAACAACGACAAAAGTTTAAAAGTGAGAGTTTCTTCAGGGTAATGGCGTCATTGTACATGGTTCTTATAAATACTTAGAACACAAATGATCTGGTATGCCTTTGACCTAATTCAGAGGTCCCTATGCATAGAGAGAACACTATAAAATGTACTTCCCCTTTACTTAGATATCCAAGTCCAATACATTTCCCAATGTGCTCGATTCTAGCCACCAGTATTCACAGCTCTGAAACATCTGTTAAGCAGCAGAGGTCCCTAAAGAAACTAGTAATGAGAACTTAGCTCATTTGATTTTCATAGTTCATACAAAACCATCTATGCACAGTTGCTCTATTGTACATCAGTATGCTTCTTATCAGCACTGATAATTGGGACTAATAGTAACATTCACTAAGCACTAAGTAGATCCTTTACCCTAGTTAAGTATGTATTACACTGAATTTAGATTTTAAATATAGTCTCATCTAAATTTCTAAAATGCAACTTAAATTCATTTCTATCTATTTACAAACTATACATATATTATTACTTCATTTAATAAATCTATGAGTTAGAGACCCTTTAACACCTGTGGGAACCAAAGCTTAGAGACATTAAGTAATGGACAAATAACTAGTTAAGGTCTTTTTGATTTTGAAATTTGAGCTATTAACTATGCTACCCGACATCCCACCAATAGTCAATTTAGTACTTCACAACCATTTCCATGGTTATCACTGCACAGACAGAAAGCACTAGTTAAAGGTACACACTGAAACACCCTAGGAAAATGATATTTGTAGGTAACTCTGGAGGAAAGGGCCAGACTTCCGACAACCATAAGTACCTGAAAGGTGGGAGTGGAGAGACTCTAAGCACACTGAAGACTGAGCTCTCTCCAGAGCTACAAGTCACTCACATCACTAAAAGGTCTTAAGGTGAGTCTTGGGAAGCCACAGTAATTTACATATTTTTCTATGTGTAATTTCCATATTTTTCTATGTGTAATTTCCCATTGTTGATATTTCTTCTGCTAGAAGATGATGTCTTTATCAACCTACATTGCTTATAACTCCTCTACCCAGCGTTCTTTAGACTTAGAACATGGAAACCATTCTTATTTTTCTAACATGAGGAACATTGTAACTCTGGGAGGGCATCTAGAGTTTATGAGGTCCCATCTTTTTTTTTTTTTTTTGTAAGTTTTTAATGTGAACTGAGTGATAGTTTACATGGGAGAACATTGGCTTTACACTATTATTTCACTGCAATGATTACAATCTTTTCCGTATTCAACTGTATTTTCTTCCATTCATTTTGTTTTGTTTGGGGGTGGGGAGTGTACACAGAAACACTCAGGAATATATAATAATCTAAACAACCAAAGGGTACATTCTGTAAGCCTGCTTCCTGGCCACCAGCACTAAGTCCCTCTCTTTCCATGAGTCTAGAGTCCTCAGCTGCTCCTTCTCTCCATGCCCTCATCTCTGCCTCCATCTCTGGTGCCGCTGCTTTTCTCGATAGCACTCTGCTTGTGCTCTTCTCTCTTGATGGTCCTAGGGCCCTCTGTTTCTGGACTGTAAGATTAACTACACCCCTATTTTTGTTACAAAACTTCTACCTTTACAATTTAACAGTCACAATTAGTCATGATAACTATTATTCATTATTGAATCATAAGAATCTTATTCCTCTCTCTTTTCACCAGACTCATTTAGACAAGATGAAAACTATTCAGTGGGAACTCTACCTTTCCCTGCACACTCTTAAACTAAACTCCCTTTTGAAAATTTGTAAGCCAGTCACTTTGTACCTTTATCGTCCCCTCATTTTAGGTGGCCAATGTCTAAATTGCCCATCTCTTAACTACCCTGTATACAGAGAGGATAGGATCGATACTTGAAGTAAAGACTCCTTCCCTCTCAGTTGGTATTTTGAGCTACTACATCCATAAAGGAGCTCTGGTAGCGTAGTGGTTACGAATCGGGCTGCGAACCTTAAGGTCAGTGGTTCGAA